TTCTACGTAATCGTATCGTATCGAGAATTCTACGTAAAATATATGTAAAATTCTACGTATGTCAAAAAAATTACTATTAGTACATAAATATTATTACGATTACAATATCTATATAGCGAAATGTCCAATTGTGGTCTAGTTTAGTCCATATTCTTGTGTCTACTACAAATAGCCCGTGAAATAAATTGTAACTATGTACAATATTTCATCTCAGTACAAACTTATAATTAATTTGCCAGTAAGCACGTGAAGCCACGGCATAAGTTTGTTGCATCGACCGTTTTGCAGGTGCATCATAATTAACGTTTGCTACAGTGGTCGTTCTAAACTGTCTTCCGCCAACAAACAGAATTCATGAACAGTTCAATGATATGCATGGAGTTTATGTTAGTAACATGATTTTTTAATATAATTGGGTTGTGTCCAGGATATCAAAATTATAAATATAATTAGTCCGTCAGTTAGATAATGAAAAAATATTAGACGATATTCATTTTCTCGTATTAAATTGCAATACTTAGATAAAATGGCGCTAAGTTTAGGAGTGGGAGGTCGTTACGTCATAATGTGCTAAAAATGTGAGACACTGTGACGTCACATGATATTTTAAATTAATATGTCGTCAAAAGTATGTAATTTTCTGAGAAAAGAAAAAATACGTGTCTAAAGTTTTAAATTAATGTACCAGACGGACATTAAAATACAATTTTACCCTATTATAATGATATCACGCCTTTTATTAACTAGAGGGTATGCAGATGTGCCCGTGATGGGCTCATAATGCCAAATATATATAATACAATGTATAATTTACTACTGTGCAATTTTTTAAAAACTGAAATAATTGAATAATACCTCGCCCAGCTCGGGAATCGAACCCAAGGCCTCTTACTCGGTAGTGACACTTGTGATTACTCGACTAACGAGGCAATCTTAATAATAAAAGAAGTAGATTTAGAAATAGAATAACAATGAAATTTCTTGCTCGGTTTTCTCCAAAGGAATCTACACTATAGAACCAGCAAATAGGTTCGCTTGAGAACTGATCGCTAAACTGATAGTCTTTATTTTAAAACTATTTTATTTAAAGTTCATATAACTGACTTACAATGTGAATTGAAAATTGGAAAATTTCATACAAAAAATGTATGCAATATGTTACCACGGGATCATGTAAAGCAATATTTACTTTGACGCTATAATCGGGAGTAATTTCAAAATGCTGCTTTAATGCCGGCTATTTTTCAATAGCCAAAATATATTTGAATTTATAGAACAGTGGCACAATGTGTCCAGTGAGCTCAATGGTAGGATAACTTTCCAAATGTTAACATAACTGAACAAATATTTTTGTATCTAATTGTGGGTAATTCTGATAAAATCAACAAAAATATCGCATCATAAGAATGCCTGAACTTACCATTTCTAATTAAAAATTTGTAATCGTCAACCCGCCTTGAGCAAGCGTGGTGATTAATGCTCACACATCTCGGTGTGAGAACAGAAATAGGCTATTTTGTGACTGTCAATTCGAATTTTCGACGTGAGCTCAGTCACATTTTCGCATTGGTCTAGACTAGTATTTTTTTTAAGGGGGAAAATCATCGAATTACTGCTCCCGCCTAGGTGAGGCGGGAGGGAGTGTCAGACTCTTACTGACTAAAAACCACCCCGTTCCTTCTCCTGCACGTCGAGTCGGAGCCCCGGTTACCCGTTAGGTTCTCCGCGAAGTCTAGAGTACTCTCAAAAAAAGACATGGCGGACCGCGATCGTATTCGCTTCAATTCCGAATTGAAATTTACACAATAGTCTAGCTAGCCTTTGCTTAGCAATGTAAATTTTAAAAGTGATGAGAATAAGATGTAAAAATAAATATAAAAGGTTTTTAAATAAATTATATGCAACAATTCTAATTAATATTTATTTCAAATTAGATTCATGTACTTCTTCGCAGCCAGGGTACCGCGCCACACAGTCAACGTTTGCAACGTGAGCTTTATCATATTCCTTATGTTCTTCCTTGGTAAACTCTTTGCCTTTTGGTAACCTGGAATCATTAAAAAGCATGTTAGAATTTAACTTTCAATACGTTTAAAATAGCTACGTATTAATTTGTCTTAATTCTCATTAGTAGTAGGTACAGCAACTAATTTTGAGACTGTTAAAACCAATTCAAGATGCCTTCTATGACTGGTATCTCTTACGAATATTTTTAATACCTTTGTCAAGTATGTACATACGCTTAAAAATTGTCCTTCCTGTTACCAAACTACATAGTTACTGAACTCATGAAAATTAAATAGCATAAGACCAAATAGTGATCAGATCAGTTCAGTATTTGTCCTCTAGGATAAGAAGTGTCACTTCTATCAGCATCATAAAATAAATAATACTTACTCTAAAATTAATTTCCTAAAACCAATGCTGGTTAACTTCAATAAAATCCAGCAAGGAGAATAACGAGAGAAGAATTCCTCGCAATACCAGTCGAGAATACAACATAAGTGAGAAAATCGATACTCACGTGAACACAGCTCTGAGGAATTCTTGCAAGAATGTCCCCTGCCTTGGAGCCCGCTGCGCCGCCTCGCATAGTTTATAAAGAACGCACTGACGCCCGTCTCGTCCCATCCTGCACAGATTACGTTAAGCTGTTTAGAAATGCTTTATTGTGGCGAACACATTATACGCTAAGCATCTAACCTTCGCTGGGATGTTTTGTACAAGTTTTGTTTGGTTAAAGTTAATGGGTTGAAATTAGGATGAGGGATTTTAAGTGGTCGGAATATTAAATGTGTTGTTAAAATTGTTAATAGGCGATCACACTGAATGAAACGCATATGAACTAATAGGAAATTTAACATTAAATATAAGAAATGTCAAAATGCCTATAACTGTGTAATAAAATGACTTCAAGCTGTTGAATATAAGAAAAAAAGTGATCAATTCAAAAATAATTGTGTTGTTTTTTTCTTCTCAATCGCTCTTTTGATCTGCCGTTAATGTCCTTCTGAACAAATTAAGAGACGAAAATGAGCGACCTTTTGAAAGAAAAAAAATAAATATTTTATAATACATGTTTAAAAAAACCGAATCCGAAACCCTTCTTTTCTTGCAGTCGGTTAATTAATAGACATAAAACACACACTTTTTTCTGCACTGCCTCCATCAAAATCGGTTCAATCAATCGCGCTGTCGCGCATAAACATACATACATGCAAACATACATGTCGAACTGAAAACGTGCTTATTTTGAAGTCGGTTAAAAACGGAATCACTGGGTTTATATTTTACTAGACTTGCTTAACCCGTGGTATTGTAGATCTACATGAGACACAATATATTTTCTATTGCCTCGTTGGCCGAGTGGTCGCAAGTGACTGCCGGGCAAGTAACTGTGCCCGGTATTTGGCAATAGGCTCACCCCCTACATGGGACTCATAACATAAATAATAAAAAGTGGGTGTTACATTGTACAGTAGCATTAAGTGCCGTAATGTGCACCTCTGCCTACCCCTTCGGGATAAAATGTATGTTATGTATGTGTCTTATATACCCGCACTCAAGAGGTTAATGATCATGGGTACTTACGTGATTAATAGTTTCTCAAACTTCTGATATAGCTCCAACCGATTCTTCCGATGAAACTCTTTACTATTCTTGTCCAGATTATGAATTTTCAAATGTCCAGTCTTGAAATGGTTCCTGTGCATCTTCTTCCTATTTATTATAGGTTTCTGCTTTATGGAAGACAGCAAATGGTCATCTATACTTCTCTTTCCTAAGACCGGGGTAATTATAAGCTTTCTGAAATACATATTTGCAATTTACTAAAATGCTACTTGAAAACTATTAGAATTTGAACGTTTCCCCGGTTGGGTTGGGTCCAATCATCAATCATCACCTACAAAAAATGACAGCGGAGCAAATTAAATTGATATCCTTAAGTAGACAACAGCATTTTTTGGAAAAAAAGAGGTCCCTGCTATATAATACATTGTTTTTCTTCACATCATTAATTCAGTCACTAAAGCTTCATTTAAAATAAAACCAAAACAGGAACGAATCAAAAAAATATGCACACACGTACCTTGTATAAGGAACTTTAGCTATCAGTCTTCCATCTTCATCCAAATAGTTGACGGTTTTAACCACATCATTTCTTCGCAGGGGTCTCTCATAGTCCTTCAAAGCGTGGAATATGTTAGGGTCCGTCGGCAGTAACCAAGCCAACCCAGCAGTTTCAGCAAACAGGAAAATATCACCAATCGGGATCAACACCGGGGTTTGATATAGAAATACTGGAAAATTTAAATAAGATATATAAAAATTATATATGTAACAAATATCTATTAGACAACTACTGATAGTTTATTGAGATTTAATTACTAGTATTCTATTTCGAAAATGCTTTAGAATGTATTTGCCTACCCAGTTGAAATGAACTTCCATCCGGGAATATAAGAAACCTTTTCCTTCTTGATAACACTTTTGATTTCCCATTGTCATCGTGATCTTCATCAATCGTATCATTTTTATATGCCCTTAAATCCCCAGCAATTGCTGTGCGCAAAACTGAACACAAAATTATAAATAATAAACTATTCATGTTTTAAAATTTAAAATTCGAAATTGAAATCCAAAATTCGTTATTTCAAAAAATGCAACGCATGCTTGCCTCGCGTATTTAGTTGGAACTGGCCAGTCACGATAATAAGAGCTAGTTGTAGTGACCTGTCATTTTGGAAATCGGACTTTGGAGGCAGCCATTTTTAAACAATGGAATTTTTCAATTAATAACCCTATGTTACTTGGTTTACGGTTATTTTCCGGATGTTAAAAGCCAGTGTTGGCTTAGCTCGGAAAAGAAAGCAAATTAGATCTCATTAGAGTGTCTGTGTTTAATATCTCTAAGCCGAGCAAAATATTGGACTATTTTCCTGTTTTGATAGCACCGTACGATTTCAAGTAAGCAGCAACTGACCAATAGATAAATAAATATAAATTATTTTTAAATAATGAAACACGAAGTTTGAAAAAATTAAATAAGAATAATTAGTCGCAGGCTAAAATGTACACTGTGATGAATCACCGTGGTGTTACGACGTCATTCAACGTGCTCTAGATACGTCGCAGAACATGTTGCATGTACTTGTTGCGTCAACTGTCACCTACCGTTGCGTGCAACGTATCGTGAAACAAGGCGAAGGTATGAATCATTACCTGATTATAATATTTTATGATTTAAGAATAGACTTGAATATTTAAGGGCAAAGTATTCCTGAGATTTTTAAAAATTCTCAGTATTAGCACGGAGTCTGGAATTGTGCCCGGTATATGGCAATAGGCTCTCATGACATAAATAGTGATAAGTGGGTGTTGCATTGTACACTGGCATTAAGTTCCGTAATGTGCACCTCTGCATACCCATTCGGGGATAAAAGACGTGTTACGTTAAAATTAAATAAAAAATAATATATTATTTATTAAAAATGCTGATATAATTTATTTCAGAATCTTAGTCCTATTTGCTTCACACTGATTTTTTGTAGTGTTAAAGTATAGTGTATGAAATCATTAATAAATGACTTACCCCAACCGGGGAAATGACTTCAAATTCTCATAGATCACACACATAGTAAATTATGGACATTACATGGGACTCATAACATTAATAGTGAAAAGTGGATGTTACATTGTACAGTGGCATTAAGGCGAACTCACGGTGCGAGACATCGGCCAAGTATAATAGCGTTTTATCTGGAATTGTGCACGATGTGCGTCATGACTTTTCATACGAAAAATATTATTATTGCTCAATAGGCAACTGAAAAAAATGCCCTAATCTCGCAGTCCGTAGCCGCGGCTCGCCAGGGGTAGACACGGCGCACACGCCGCAGCGCCGTGCTGCAAAACCGTGTGAATAATATAAAAATATGTATTTATTCGAATGGTCAATATGACCCATCATTTACTGTAAGTGTGAACCTTGTAATCTGGTGCATTAAAGCATGATCTAGGTATTTTATAGGATAAACCGGTAAATGAGCAGACGGGTCACCTGATGGTAATCAATTGGCGTCGCCGGTAGACACCTGAAACATCAGAGGCGTTACAAGTACTTTACCGGCGTTTTGGAGATTAGGAATTTGATAATTATTGGGTATTCAGGGATTGCGGAGATTAGGATAGGGGAGGTAAACTCACTAATACGACGAAACACAATGCAAGCGTTGTTTCACGTCGATTTTCTAAGAGGTATCACTCCGGTCAAGCCGGTACATTCGTGCCGAAGCATGGCTCTCCCACACTTATTTGTTGGTGGTCTCAAAATAGATGTTAACTTGACATGACATAGCATCGCGTCTTTTTTGCCAAAAGGCAGGAAGATCGAGGTGCATATAATTACATTTCTGATATAATAATGGTGTGTTGTTGTTCCACATTCCGAAAATTTTGTTCAGATCAGGTGGCGCAAATGTAGCGTGAGACTCTTAGAAAATTATTAGCCAACAATGCATGCTCGTCCATTAAAAGTTCTTAATGGACGAGCATGCATTGTTTGTAAAGCAACAGCTTTGGTCCTTTTCAATAACTTTCCTGTTTTGTTAGGACGTCGGACGATGTAGATGCCCTTTATTAAACTGTCAAACACCAAGCGGTCACCGGTGACCGCAACCTATTGTTCTATAATTGTGTCTATAACGACGGTACTCGACGAGTTAAGTTCTCTAAAATATAGCGTGTCCCAAAAATTTATAGATTGAATTTTTTTATGGCATAAGCCGTTAGACGAGCAGACGGATCACCTGATCGTAAGCAATCGGCGTCGCCCGTGGACACCAGGAACACCAGAGGCGTTATAAGTGCGTTATCGGCTTTTTGGTGATTAGGAGTTTGAGGATCGTTGGGGATTCAGGGATTGAGGAGATTGGGGAAGGGGAGGGTAATTGGGCCTCCGGCAACCTCACTCACTCGACAAAACACAACGCAAGCGTTGCTTTACGTCGGTTTTCTGTGAGGCCGTGGTATCATTTATACACACTTTTTTTTTTTCGCTCTGGCAACACTGTGAGCCGGTCGTAATAGAAACTGTCTCTTACGATTTTTAATAAAATTTAATAAATTTAATGGTTAAATCGTAATAATTTATTGTAATTTAGTAAAATATAGTAATTAAGTGTTATAAACAGTGTAATTCACGAACTTCTACGGTGTAATTGTACAAATATATGTTATTTGTGATATCGTCTGACAACCTGTCAAAGGAACAACGACTACGGTAGATTTGAAATCACAAAAACCGGGGGAGTATTGTATTTTTCTTCCATTTATTATTGCTAGAACATAGTAAACGGTGTACAGTGTGGCTAAAATTGGAATACAAACACCACTTACAAGTCTACTCTACTCAAGTCTTTGAGTAACGTCCCGTACACACCGGCACCGTTTATGTCTCCTTTTGATTGACGATAAGTGGAAGCAGAATCGATCGACTAAAACATAGCCCAGACAAGTAAAAACACTACATAACTGTCTTCACATTAACACATTAGACCTAGATACTGAAATTTCAATATATCTACTAGGTACTAGTCTACCCACTGAACTTTATTTTGTTTTTCTGACCTTTCATACTAAGTACTCATTACTAGTTTTGTTGTAATATTTCTTTCTTTTACTCTGTAATCATAATAATTTTAATCTGTTTCCATTCCATTTATTAATCCTCTTACTTAAATTTACCTTTTTATCTAAAATATTTTTATTTTCGGTCTACCTTCATTGTCCATACATACATTATTTTCATAAATTATTGCCAACACTTAGCTTCTGTTTCACATTTCAGGAAGTGAGCTACACATCAGCAACATGATGACACGCAGGGCTACCACCGTAAAGGACCTAGAAGACAAACTGCGGCTGACTCTAAAGGAACTGGAGACCTCAAAACAGCTATGCAGCCAA